GAGAACGTGACGGAACGCTCTGGAACAAATGTATCCTCGACATAGCCCCGTCCGACGGTAGCCCGTGTATTCGACGAGGCTCCCTGGCGAATACGTGTAATGCCCGCCCCGGGGCTATCCACCCCTATGGTCTCCGCCGAGCGCTACCCCCAGATCCTAGAAGGGCCACGAGGCTCTTGCGAGGACCAGGACGGGCGCATTTCCCATGTATCCCCCAAGCCACAAGGCGCCCAGCAGGCGGCGCCAGGCAAGTCTTCGGCGCGAGACCAGGCTGGGCGCTGCACGATTCCTGAACCTCTGGAATAGCTGCCGTGTGTAGGGTACGTGGCCGATTCTTGGGAAACCAAGAAGCACCGATACCGCTACTCCCCGGACCTCTCCCAGGGTGCGTTCTGACCAGAATGTCGAGGCGAATCCAGAGGTGGCGACGAGGCCCTCCCAGGAGGCCCGCAACGGGGAAAGCGGGCTAAGGGCACAAATATAGGTATCTTTTCCCCCTCTGAGACTCCGGAAACCGAAGAACGTTTTCGTATTCGGCATTTCGACATTGGGCGGAAGGGGGAGGAGGGCGGGGGGGTCTGGCTCTGGACCTCTGCTTAACGCGACTGTTTGCAACAGTGCGTCCTATGGGGGAGACCCCACCTGCTTGAACCAGGCGCCTAAAAAATTAACCTGGCGAAGGACACAACCATATGCAGCTGTGAGTACCGCGTTGTGGGCACCGCCCTCGGTGGAACCCCCTATGGGGCCACGATCCTCGTGACGGGTGTGCTGAAATGGGCAAGGGAACGCATGCAAACCCTGCCGCAGGGGCCTTCGGTGGAGCTCCCCATGGGGCCACGATCCTCGTGAGGGGTGTGCCGAACTGGGCGGGGGGACACATGCAAACCCTGCCGCAGGGGCCTTCGGTGGAGCTCCCCATGGGGCCACGATCCTCGTGAGGGGTGTGCCGAAATGGGCGGGGGGACGTATGCAAACCCTGCTGCTGGGGCCTTCGGTGGAGCTCCCTACGGGGCCGCGATCCTCGTGAAGGGTGTGCCGAACTGGGCGGGGGGACGCATGCAAACCCTGCCGCAGGGGCCTTCGGTGGAGCTCCCCATGGGGCCACGATTCTCGTGAGGGGTGTGCGGGAATCAGCTGGAGAACGCATGCAAACCCTGCCGCAGGGGCCTTCGGTGGAGCTCCCTATGGGGCCACGATCCTTGTGAGGGGTGTGCCGAAATGGGCGGGGGACGCATGCATCCCCTGTCCCTGGGGCCTTCGGTGGAGCTCCCCATGGGGCCATGATCCTCGTGAGGGGTGTGCCGAACTGGGCGGGGGGGCGCATGCAAACCCTGCTGATGGGGCCTTCGGTGGAGCTCCCTATGGGGCCGCGATCCTCGTGAGGGGTGTGACGAAATGGGCGGGGGGACGCATGCAAACCCTGCTGCTGGGGCCTTCGGTGGAGCTCTCTATGGGGCCGCGATCCTCGTGAAGGGTGTGCCGAACTGGGCGGGGGGACGCATGCGAACCCTGCCGCAGGGGCCTTCGGTGGAGCTCCCCATGGGGCCACGATCCTCGTGAGGGGTGTGCGGAAATCAGCTGGAGAACGCATGCAAACCCTGCCGCAGGGGCCTTCGGTGGAGTTCCCTATGGGGCCATGATCCTCGTGAGGGGTGTGCCGAACTGGGCGGGGGGGCGCATGCAAACCCTGCTGATGGGGCCTTCGGTGGAGCTCCCTATGGGGCCGAGATCCTCAGGAGGGGTGTGCCGACATGGGCGGGGGGACGTATGCAAACCCTGCCGCTGGGGCCTTCGGTGGAGCTTCCTATGAGGTCACGATCCTCGGGAGGGGTATGCCGAAATGGGCGGGGGGGACGCATGCAAACCTTGCCGCTGGAGCCTTCGGTGGAGCAACATATGGGGCCACGATCCTCGTGACGGGTGTGCCGAAGTGGGCGGGGGGGCGCATGCGAACCCTGCCGCTGGGGCCTTCGGTGGAGCTCCCCATGGGGCCACGATCCTCGTGAGGGGTGTGCCGAAAACAGCAGGGGAACGCATGCAAACCCTGCCGCTGGGGCCTTCGGTGGAGCTCCCTATAGAGCCACGATCCTTGTGAGAGGTGTACCGAAATGGGCGGGGGGACGCATGCAAACCCTGCAGCTAAAGCCTTAGGTGGAGCTCCCCTATGGGGCCACGATCCTCGTGACGGGTATGCCGAAGTGGGCGGGGGATACAGATACGGATACGGATCGCCTGTGCGGGCATGCGCCCGGGCCCCTTAAGGACGAGGCGGGTGAGGCCATGGCCTCGCATGAGAAGCTGCGCGCGTCGGGGGTCTACTCAGGACAATGTGAACTTCAGGAACTGATTTCCCGACAGTCCCCACTCATCCGTTTTCTCATGATGTAGCCACGTCGTCTCGTTGAAATCGTAGTTCTTGTGGTGTGAGACTGTCGGAGAAACCCGTGGGTGCCATCGTCCTTTCTGTGATCTCGAACTCATAGCAAAACACGTTCGAGTTGAACTCCACGGACCTCCAATCCTCTGCACATGGGTGTTGGAGCACTGGTGTTCTCATGAACTCTGTGTCACATCCTTCAAGTACCACTCAAGAAACAGATCACCACGTGCAATCAAGACCCATACGCGCTCTGTGACACACCCAAGAGATCAGCTAGAGGTCGATTGGTGGTGGAAGTGGGAAGTCAAATGTGAGAGGTTGGAGGTCTGAATGTTGTGCTGGTGGAGGTTGGCGGTTGATTGGTGGAGGTGGAAGTCGAGAGTCGGATGCTGGAGGTTGGAGGTGAAAATTCTGAGTTGATGGACGCCGAAGTCGATAGACAGAGTTGGCAGTGGAGAGTTGGATGCTAGAGAATGGAGGTCGTAGTGTTGAGTTGATGGACGCTGGAGGTCGATTGGAGGTGGGAGTGGAAATTCGGATGCGCGAGGTTGGTGGTCGGAGTGCTGAGCTGGTGAGCGTTGGAGGTCGATAGGTGGAGCTGGAGAGGGACGCATGCAAACCCTGCCGCAGGGGCCTTCGGTGGAGCTCCCTGCAGGGCCACGATCCTCGGGAGGGGTGTGCCGAAATGGGCGGGGGGACGCATGCAAACCTTGCCGCTGGAGCCTTCGGTGGAGCTCCCTATGGGGTCACGATCCTCGTGAAGGGTGTGCCGAAATGGGCGGGGGGACGCACGCAAACCCTGCCGCAGAAACCTTCGGTGGAGCTCTCTATGGGGTCAAGATCCGAAATGGGCGGGGGGAACCATGCAAACTCTGCCGCTGGGGCCTTCGGTGGAGCTCCGTATCGGGCCACGATCCTCGTGAGGGGTGTGCAGAAATCAGCGGGTGGACATGCGGCGAACAGAAGCAGGAACGGGAGGAGGGAGGAGAAGGTGGAGGAGGAGGAGGAGGAGAGGAGAGGAGAGGAACGCGGGGCGCAGTCTCTTCAAAACGAGGACCCAACACGACAGGATGGTTGGGAAAAACAAGGTCTACTCCATGGGGGGGAGGGGGTGCGAGGGCCCGCGCCGATCGGCAAAACAACGAATCAGAAAACGACGATTACCTCCGCCGCCGTCCGCCGAACTTGCGCCGGCGGACCCTCCGCAGGCTTCCGCCGGCAGCCTAGGTGGTCTTCCGCATCGTATGTTTACCCCCCCCTCCTCCACCAGGTCCTCCCCAAGCCCATGTCCTCCTCTGTGCTTCTCCTGCCCACCCTTCCTCCCATCAGGTCCGCCTCCACTACCAGTTCCTCGTCCGTTCTTCTCCTGCGCCCATCCTCCTCCTTCTCCTCCTCCTCCTCCTCCTCCTGCTGATCCTCATGCTCCTCCTCGTCCTCCTCATCCTCCCCCTGATCCCCCCTCCTCACCAAATCTTCCTCGCCCCCTCCTCCTCCTCCTTCCCCCCCTCATCTCCCCCGACAAGGGCAAAGACGAGGGTGACGACAACGACTAAAGGCCATCTTGCGAACATGTAAGATTAAAAATAGGTTTGACCTTCCTGTGGTTATCCCTCTCCATTGCACCCGCCCGCTAAGTCTATGGACCAACCCCCTAGGGGGGATTATCTTCATATCAGCTCCTCCTGGGAGGAGCATTCAACAGTGCACTCTGTATGCACACCGAGCCACCATGGCCGTAATGCGAGCTAACACACCCGCGGACAACTCACCAACTCGATTGAATTGCGAGGACGTCTACGGCGAGAGCGCCGTTCTACAGTTTCGGAGCCTCCCTGGCCTGAGCGTCTCCGAGCAAATTCTAAGAAAATGTCGAACGGGAGCCGTTGTCGTCGCAGCTGGACCGTCACCAATTTGAGTAAATCGCGTGGAAATCTGGAACACGAGCGCCGTTCCTGTGTTTTGGTGCCTCTCTGGCCAGGTCGTCTCGGAGTAGATTGTGGAGCAGTATCGAGCGGGAGCCGTTGTCGTCGCAGCTGGGCCTTCGCCAACTTGAGTGACGTTCGAAGAAACCTCGAGCGAGAGCGCCGTGCCTGAGTTCGCAGGCCTCTCTGGCCAGGGCGTTTTGAGCAAATCACAAGGAAGTATCGAGCGAGACCCATTTGTGCCAGGCCTTCACAAACGTAAATGCCTTGCTTGGAAGTCTCCAGCGAGACCGCCGTTCCTGACTTTGAGGGCCTCTCTAGCCAGGGCGTCGTGGAATAAATTGCGAGGGTATATCGAGTGGGCGCCGATGTCGTCGTAGCCAGGCCTTCAGGGGGCCACATTTTGAACCAAGCCAGCGCTCGAGCGGGAGCCTCGCTTTCACAGAATGTAACGGGCTCGAGGCGAGAGCGCCCGAAGCCGTTTCCAGAGACCTGCAACAATAATTCAATCATTCGTTTACGACGACGACGACGAACACGACGACGACGACGACGACGACGACGACGACGACGACGACGACGACGACGACGGCGACGACGACGACGGCGATCACGACGACGACGACGACGACGACGAGGACGAGGAAGAGGACGAGGACGAGGACGACGGTGACAACTGCCCCCGCGCGCGGAGCCAGGACGCGTCCGCCGAGGCCGACAGGACCAGGCTCAGCCGGTACGATCCTGCCCGCGCTCCCGCGAGTCTGCATCGTCCCCAGCATGGCGCAGGCACGGCAGATTCTGGTCGGGTCGACCTCTGTTGCTGGCTTCCCCGCAGAACCTGGCGATGTTTGGGAACAGTGGCGGCCGGTTGTTTCACGTGTGCGGCCTCTGGAGGCTGTTTGCTGGCCCCGGGAATGTCAAGAACCACTCAGGATGAAAAAATGGCCCAGGGGAAAACTGGTCAAGATCTACGGGGGCCGACGTTACTAAAAACATGCAACGTCGGAGGAGAGCGTATGACACCGCGTGGGTTGGGCTTCCCGAAAACGCATATCGTTCGATATCAGCCGATTCCAGGCCACCGGCGGCATTCAACCTGGAATGCCGAGCGCGCGCCAGGGTCGCAGCCGCGTCGACACAGAAACATGCGCAGGGCTGATGACGCACAGCCCCAGGAGGTAGCCCAAAACTGAGCGACTGAGAACACTGGGTCTTGCGCCCTCCTGCCTTCTCCTGCTCCTGCTCCTGCTCCTCCTCCTCCTCCTCCTCCTCCTCCTCCTCCTCCTCCTCCTCCTCCTCATCCTCCTACTTCGTCTTCTTCCTCCTCCTCCTCCTCTCCTCCTCCTCCTCCTCCTCCTCCTCCTCATCCTCATCCTCATCCTCATCCTCTCCTCATCCCTCCGCCTCCTCTCCTCCCCTCCTCCGCCTCCTCCTCCTCCTCATCGACCTCCTCCGCCCCCTCCTCCTCTCCTTCTCCTCCTCCTCCTCCTCCTCATCATCCGCCTCCTCCTCCTCCTCACTCCTCCCCCCCTCTACCTCTCCTCCTCCTCCTCTCCTCCCTCCTCCTCCGCCTCCTCCTCCTCCTCCTCCTCCTCCTCCTCCTCCTCCTCCTCTCCTCCTCCTCCTCCCTGCGCCTCCTCCTCCTCCTCTCCTCCTCCTCCTCCTCCTCCTCCTCCTCCTCCTCCTCCTCCTCCTCCTCCTCCTCCCCCTCCTCATCCTCATCCTCATCCTCCTCCTCCTCCTCCTCCTCCGCCCGTCCGCCTCCTCCTCCTCTGCGCCTCCGCTCCGCCTCCGCCTCTGCTCCTCCTCCTCCTCCTCCTCCTCCTCCCTCCTCCTCCTCCTCCTCCTCCTCCTCCTCCTCCTCCTCCTCCTCCTCCTCCTCCTTCTCATCCTCATCCTCCGCCTCCCTTCCTCCTCCTTCTCCCTCCTCCCTCCCCTTCTCTTCCTCTCCTCCTCCTCCTTCTCCTCATCGCCTCCCTCCTCCTCCTCTCCCCTCCGCCTCCTCTCCTCCCGGTCGCCTCCGCCTCCGCCTCTGCCTCCTCCTCCCCTCCTCCTCCTCCTCCTCCCGCTCCTCCTCCTCCTCCTCCACCTCCTCCTCCTCCCGGGGCCGACCATCGCGGCAGACAAGAGGAGGAGAAACTGGCTCAATATTGTAGCACCAGCTGCTTGGCATTTTGCCTTGCTGCATGTTGCACTGGAGGTGGGGACCAGGCGCGGGGATTGTGCATTGGGATGCGAGGTGGGACCATGAGGTCCGCGTCTTCCATGGGGCCTTGTGTCCACTCACCCTGGAGAACAAGCGCAGTTGCACATGTCAATTAATTCGACAGGGTTGGCTGTGGTTGCCTGGCCGAGGAACCTGCAATAATGGCAAAAAGGTTCAGGGGACCAGCCACCCTACGCACCACGCCGTCTCGGGTGAGCAGGTCATGGGCGACGAGGCATCCTCCCTGTTCCTTCTCTGCGTCTTGGGAACAAGGCTTCGTCTTAGTAGCGCCTCCTCCTCCCCTCCTTCTACTCCGCCTTCTCCCCCTCCTCCCCCTCCCTCCTCCCCTCCTCCCCTCCTCCTCCTCCTCCTCCTCCTCCTCCTCCTCCCTCCTCCTCCTCCTCTTCCTCTTCCTCTCCTCTTCCTCTTTCTCTTCCTCTTCCTCCTCCTCATCCTCCTCCTCCTCTTTCTCCTTTCCTCCTCCTCCTCCTCCTCCTCCTTCTCCTCCTCCGCTCATTCTCCTCCTCCTCCTCTTCTCCTCCTCCTCATCCGCCCCTCCTCCTCCTCCTCCTCCTCTCCTCCTCCTCCTGATCCTCCTCATGATCCCCTCCTCCTCCTCCTCCTCCTCCTCCTCCTCCTCCTCCTCCTCCTCATCCTCCTCTTCCTCCTCATCCTCCTCATCTCCTACTCCTTTTCTCCTCTTCCCCATCCTCCTCCTCCTCCTCCGTCCTCCTCCTCCTCCTCCTACCTCCTCCTCCACCGCCTCTCCCCCTCCCCCTCCTCCTCCTCCTCCTCCTCCTCCTTCTCCTCCTCCTCCTCCTCCTCCTCCTCCTCCTCCTCCTCCTCCTCCTCCTCCTCCTCCTCCTCCTCCTCCTCTTTTTTTTTGCCGTCCACAACCATGTCTCAGGAATGATCAGAACCTGACAGAGCGAGACACCCCTGGCAGGTACACCACACGGTCCAGCCAGGAGGCTGAGACCGCAGGGCAGCGCCACTGTCGGGGCCATGCCCCCGTGGCGTGCCCTGAGCGCGACCAGGGAGCGCAAGGAGACCGTGCTCCGCGCACCCTGATCGGGGTAGGGGGCGCCGGAGCACGTGCTCCGGCGCCCAACCTACCCACCACCTACTCCATAGGTGGCCGCGGTTTCGGACCCAGGGACCCCCAGGACCGAACAAAAAAAAGGGACCACGACACGACGCGACCCGACGGGGGGACGAAACGAACGACGCGACACGAACGACACGACACGGACGAACGACGCGACAGGGACGAGCCGCCGGTCCCGCCCCAGGGCGGCGAGCGCTGGGGGGAACCAGCACCGCCCTGGGGGAGGCCACGGGACCTGGCGACCCCCCCGGGGGAAGGAAACCGCACTTTGGCGGCGTCCCCCGGGGTGCGGGGGTTTTTCGCCCCTTGGGCCCGGCGCTCCCCGCCTGCGCCAGGAGGACCCTAGGGTCCCGACCCCTCCCCTACGGGAGGGGCCCCCTCGGGGCTCCTCCTCCTCCTCCTCCTCCTCCTCCTCCTCCTCCTCCTCCTCCTCCTCCTCCTCCTCCTCCTCCTTCCTCCTCCTCCTCCTCCTCCTCCTCCCTTCCTCCTCCTCCTCCTCCTCCTCCTCCTCCTCACCTCCTCCTCCTCCTCCTCCTCCTCCTCCTCCTCCTCCTCCTCCTCCTCCTCCTCCTCCTCTCCTCCTCCTCCTCCTCCTCCTCCCCTCCTCCTCCTCCTCCTCCTCCTCCTCCTCCCCCTCCCTCCTCCTCCTCCTCCTCCTCCTCCTCCTCCTCCTCCTCCTCCTCCTCCTCTCCTCCTCCCTCCTCCTCCTCCTCCCCTCCTCCTCCTCCTCCTCCTCCTCCTCCTCCTCCTCCTCCTCCTCCTCCTCCTCCTCCTCCTCCTCCTCCTCCTGTTCCTCCTCCTCCTCCTCCTCCTCCTCCTCCTCCTCCTCCTCCTCCTTCTCCTCCCTTCTCCCCCCCACTGCTTCTCCCAGAAAGCCCCCCCTTCGTCCTGGGGCCACTGGCAGCGGCGGGGGTACCACCAGGCCCGCGTTGGACGCCGACCGCGAGAGCAGCGTGGCGTTCTCCGCGCCACCATCGGCGGGGATGATCCACCAGGACTTCCTGGAGCGGGACCGAGGGGGGAATCGTATCCCAAATCTGCGACGATTGGACTTTTCAGTCCAGGCGTGTTTCCTCGATTTCAGCCTTCCGATCCCGTTGTCGGGCACACGGGCCATCAAACATGGACCCTGGACGCAAAGCTGGCCCCAGGGAAGGGGTCGGGACCTCTGGGGCAGCGGATTGAAAACAAAACAAAAAAAACAACACAACGTCGGATGTCTGGGGAAGGGGAGAGGGATCATTGATATTTGCAGGGGCAGCGATGATCCCAAGAAACGATGACAGATTTCTAAAATTCCCCACGCAGTGCTTGCACTGATAGGGTATCTTACTTCGACTCTAAAGCACTGGGCCTGAAGGTCAGACTGGCGGCTATATGGCCGCCGTCGCCGCCCCTTCGCCGCCTCGTCGCCGCCCGTCGCCTGGGCCCGATGATCGGTCTTGCGGCTATGTGGCCGCCGTCGCCGCCCCGTCGCCGCCTCGTCGCCGCCCGCCGTCTGGACCTGACGGTCGGTGTGGGCGGCTAAGTGGCCGCCGTCGCCGCCCCGTCGACGCTTCGTCGCCGCCCGTCGTCTGATTCTGCTGGTCGGTCACGCGATTATGTGGTCGCCGTCTCCGATTCGTCGCCGCCCCGTCGACGCCCCGTCGCCACATAGATTGTACAACATAGATTTTCCTTTCGACAATTTGGAGTCCCGAAACGGTGCGACGACAGACCGTGCGGTGACCTCGAATCCCCCAAGACCTCACCACACGGTCCGTCACCGCACGGTCTTGGGACCCCGGAGGCCCTTGTCGCCCGAGACGTCCTCGGAGAGGGCCACGAGTCCCAAACCGTGTGGTGACCCCGAATCCCCACCGACTCACCGCACGGTGTGGTCACCACCTCGTTTGGGGGCCCCCGATACAAAAGAAAATAATGTTCCCCCCCCGGGATTATCCGTTCCCCTTTTTTCGTACTGCAATGTACATACGAGTCTGCCCCTATCGCCCATCCTGAATAGGAACTCATACCATCCCAATCCCAGCCGAGGCGATATCGACACCCTCTGCTATCTTCTGCAAAAACTTTCTGCGCGCACACCCGGGCATCACAAATCCTCCGCTTCCATATGTATATATAAATATGTGTATATATAACAACAAAAAACAACACAACACCAAAACGAGCTGCACACGTGTGCGACGCGCGCACTCGCGTGCCGAAATCATTCAAAACACCTCGGCCTCAGAAGGACTTGAAGAGAAAAAACCTAAAACAAAACTCTTGCGCGCGCGCTCCTGCGAACTTGTGAGAAACCGTAGGTTTTTCAACATGCGCATCGAATTCTACCAAACGGGTTTCGCGCGCGCCTGCCGAAATCGGTCGGACGCCTTTGCGCGCGTGCTGTCGCGAGAAACCTTTGCAACAAATCGGACGAAATTAGCACGCGCGCGTCGTCACGCGCGCATGCCGAAATCTTTCAAAAACCTTACGGTGCGTAGGGATTTCAAAACCGAATGCCCCGAAATCATGCAAAACAAATGAACAAACAGATGCATAATTTCAACAGTGTCATGGAAGTCTGCCAAGTGGGCCTCTCGCGCCGCATGCCGAAAGTATTCGAACGCCCCTGCGCGCGCTGGGGGGGCAAGGTCCGTGTCAATTAATATCATGCGGTCACTTTCGCGACCGTCGGCCGCGAACGCATGTCGAAACCCATCCAAAACCTTCATCACCGACACGAGGACGCCGTCATCGTCGCCGGCGTGATCAGCATCCGCGCTGTAACTGGCACTGCCGTCGTCGCTGTCAACATCCTCACTGGGATGTGCCGAACGGTCAGCGCCACCGCGTTCGCATCGGTCGCGCCAGACTAACTGGCCGCTGCGCGCGCGAGCATGCGCGGGTTAGCGCGGCCGCAAAGATGAACCAGCCAACATCAAGCACTCGTCGCAATCGCCTCCGCATGGGTTTTGCAAACAAAGTTGCGGGCAGGTGGATGTGATGATGGCGCGAGCAGTGGAGTTGACAACTCACTGCGAGCAAACATTTGTTGCACCGCATAGATTGCACAACATAGATTGCACCACGTCGGTAGCACCCAATATTACACGCACCATATCGATTGCACCACGTGGGTTGCACTACGTACGATGCATTGCAAAGATTGCACAACGTATAAGGTTCAACACATAGTGCATCACGCAGAGTACGTTACATAGGCTGCCCCACAAACATTGCACACCATACAGTGTACGTCATGTGATGCACATTGTCTAACGCCACGCAGATGCACCACATAGACATATGGCTCCAATCTGATTGCGCAACATATGCTGCTGGAAATGCACTCGCTGTTTGGGGTCCACACTGGCTAGACTTTGTGGTGCAACTGAAGTGGCGTAGTCTGCGTGGTGCAAATTATGTTATGCAGTTCGCCCTGTCGAACTTGAAGTTGTCGACTCCACTGCTCGCGCAATCATCCGGGATGAAGAGCTGCCCCCAGGGAAGGGGTCAAGACTTCTGCGGGTCGAGCCTCAGACGCCCAAGTGTTTGGACTGCTGTTTTACCCCCCGTGCGGCCATCCGGAAGCCTCTCGTCGCCACGACCAGATCCCCCCGAATCTCTTGCCAGAACGCGCGCCTGGGCAGGTCAGGAGGCCGACTCTTGACCCCTCTTCGTGGGACAATCACAACGGGAGTTCCCACATGGCCCCCGGACCGTCAAAACAGCACTCGGGATACAGTCAACGCTTTTAATTAGGACGCACGATGGGGATGGAATGGTCATGGAAGGCCGTGGCGACACCTTTCCCGCTAGCGAGGCGCGGCTAGCGAAACTGCCAAAGGATGAGCCGACGGGGAAGGATGCAAGGGTGATCCTGGAAGGCCGGTCGTCCTCACTATGCGCTTTGGCTGTGAACAGTCGCCTTGGGGGAAGTGGACTAGACCTGTGGAATCCACGCTGCGAACAAAAAACTACGTCGGAAAGCTTGGGAGGAGGCAGGGAGCGAGGAGGCCAGGGGGGGATAAAGGAGAAGGGGGGAGCGGGGAGCAAGAGGAGGAGAGGGAGGAGGAGAATGAAGAAGAGGGGACGACCGTAAAGAGGGGAGAAGGAGCAGAAGGAGGAGGAGGAAACGAGGACTCTTGGATTGCGAAGCTGTTGGCGCCGATGGCCTGTCAGCAGAGTGCCGCGGTGCAGAAAAACAAAAAAAACTGCACGGGCACCACGTTGGCAAGCAGAGTAGACAGTTCAGGTCGGGCAAAGGTCGACAAAATATGAGAGAGCGGTGGGCGCGGTCCCTGTGCGACGCTGTCGAAACGACCCTGGGCCAAAGCAAATCACGGGAGCCCCGCTCGAGAGGCAGGCGTTCCTGAGAGGGCGGCGCCGTCCTCGGCCCCCCCCAAGACGGCACGCAGAGGCGAACGGCGGAGGAGAAGCCCAGTCTTCGCGCTAAACGCAAGCACGGCGACGGAGGCTGCTTCAACTTAGCTTGCTCACACCCTAGAGATAGTCTCGAGCACCAAGCGAAGTCTAGAGGAAGGGCCTGCCCGACACACCAGCGAGGCGCCAGACGAGCACGCCTCCCAGGACGGGCGCGAGAAAACCATCCAGCTTCGGTACCTGCTTGGCGCTCAAAACTCTTGCTGCTGATCAAGGCTCACGCAGGTTGGAACATCGTAAGTTTCCACCTTTCTCCCGCTGTCTGGCGGCCACAGTGGCGGAAAGAAAGCGGTGCGGCCGCAGGCAGGCGGGCGGAGGGAGCCACGGTGAGCGTCGTGCTCGCAGTGAGCCTGGCTGGCGGGCGCGGGGAGGGGCCCCAAGGGGGCCTCGCAAGTGCAGTGCGCTATCGGGTGCACCATTAGATGAAAGAGAACCATGCACATACACCGACTCTGGCCAGGCCCATCCTGAGCCCAGTATCGGTGCTTACGCCCTCCTACCTTGGCCAGGAATGTATATGCACCGATCCTGGGCCAAGGATGGGCCCTGCCAGGATCGGTGCATGTGCATAGTTCTCTTCGCCCGAACCATTCGGCAGTGGACAAACCTCCCTTTAGTAAACCTCCCCTTCGTGAAAACGGCCTGGGACCGAAACCGACGGACCCGGACCCGCAAACATGACGGCCGTGGCGCCCCCTCGCGAACCGAAAAGCGGCCGATTCCTTCATCGACGTGTCAGGGCAGGAGGTCCATCGACGTGTCAGGGCAGGAGGTCCATCGACCTCCGAACCATCAGCCCTGGCTGGGCTCACGTGGGCCCTGGGCCCTGCCCTACTTCACTCGCTGTCCGAAAAACCAATGGAGAAAGGCTTAGCTGCCGAGATACGCAACACGCAATACGCACCGTATCGATACGGAACTCAACACGTAGGCTGAAGGTAGGTCCGACGCGATACATTCGCCAAAACGTGGTCCAATACGTGGAGCCAACACGCAACGTAATGACACGGACGTCTTGAACACGGGACGTGTTGCGTTTCAAAACGCGCGTATCGAAGCAACTAAGGAGAAGGGCAGGGCGGCAGAACCTCCTCGGCCGTGGTCCGCAGAGAACAGGGGAGCGGCGCGCAGCGGGCAGGGGGCGCGGCAGACAGAGCGAGGGGGGCGCCAAGAGGTAGCTAGAGGGCGCTCCTGCCCCTCCTCCTCCTCCTCCTCCTCCTCCTCCTCCTCCTCCTCCTCCTCCTCCTCCTCGTCTTCCCTCCTCCTCCTCCTCCTCCTCCCTCCTCCTCCTCCTCCTCCTCCTCCTCCTCGTCTTCCCTCCTCCTCCTCCTCCTCCTCCTCCACCTGCTTCCCCCTCCAACTTATGGTGGTGGTGGTGGTGGTGGTGGTGGTGGTGGTGGTGGTGGTGGTGGTGGTGGTGGTGGTGGTGGTGGTGATGGTGGTGGTGATGGTGGTGGTGGTGGTGATGGTGGTGGTGGTGGTGATGGGAAACAGGCCCATCATAACGGCGCCCTCCTCGCCCCGAACCTCACAGTCGCAGTGACTCTGCGGCGAGCTGGGAGCACACCGTGGGCCGATCCACGACGGGTGAGAACGCGCACGCCGGGCCAAGGCTGGCAAAGTCTGCCGGTGCGGCCTGGTGCGCAAAGCTTCTGGCTCACGACTCCTCAGACTTGCGCTCGACTTGAGGGGGGGAGGAGGAGGGAGGAGGGAGGAGCGGAGGAGCGGGAGCAGGAGGATAAAGCAAGGCGGAAAAGAGCGGTGGAGCGAGTCTCTCAAGCTGCCACTGCGGCCGACTGCACAGCGAGAAAGAAAAAGAGAACCTCCCAGCGCACGGGCGGGGATCATATTCCGGGCGACGCGCCCGATACGATTCCCATCTGGGCGCCCGAGTGGGCGGGCAAGAGGCGGTTCGACCATAACGTTGAGGCGGATCCAGCCGTAGCCACGAGGGCACCCCCCGAGGCCTAGGAGCACCCCCAAACTAAGAGAACGACAATGAAAACGGCGACGCCGACGACGACGACGGCGATGACGACGCTCGACGAGGACGACGAGGACGACGACGACGACGACGACGACGACGACGACGACGACGACGACGACGACCACGACGACCACGACGACCACGACGACAACGACGACGACGCCGACGACGACGACGCCGACGACGACGACGACGACGACGCTCGACGGCGGCGGCGTCCACGGCGGCACGGCGCAGATCTCGGACTCCACCGCAGCGGCGGCGAGACGGAGCTCCTGCTGGGGCGACGCCTGACTGGGCCCAGCGCGGCGGCGAACGGTCCTCGTCGTCGCCCCTGCCGTCCAGAGAGAGGGAGAGGGAGACCTCCTCCTCCCCCTCCTCTTCCTCCTCCTCCTCCTCCCCCTCCTCCTCCTCCTCCTCCTCCTCCTCCTCCTCCTCCTCCTCCTCCTCCTCCTCCTCCTCCTCCTCCTCCTCCCCCTCCTCCTCCTCCTCCTTCTCCTTTTCCTTCTCCTCGCCCCTGCCGCCCCACCTCAGGATCTAGGATCGGGGTGTTGAGGCGATTCTGACCGTGTCGGGGCCTCCTCGTGGCCACGGCTGGGTCCGCGCCGAAATTCTTTTCAGAACGCACCCCAGGACAGGGCCGGGGATCGATTTTCCCGCCCCAGGCACAAAGCCCCTGTCGTCGTGACAAGATCAAGACCGAAGGCTTTTTGCTATCTCCGACCTCTGGAGCCCCTCCAGGCCCCATGACCAACCAAAATCGACCTGGGGTGAAAACCGAAGGGGGTCGACGCTGCGCAGAAAATCACGAGGTCGGGGATGCGAAGGCGGAGGGGGAACAACAGGAGGCGGATGCAGAAGAGGGTCGCTGTGATTCTGACTCGAGCCAGGCCGCGCCGAGCACACGAGGCCCCCATGCGGCTGGCCCCTGCCACCACGCGGACCTGTCAGCCCTGAGCGCTCCCGGCTTCCCGACAGCCTGGATCGACCGACAGCGGCCGCTGCTGGGTCGCCGGTGGTTCTGGGCCGCTGGCGGCACTCAGCCTCGAGCGCCCGCGCGGGGGCCGCCGCCACGTCGGCACGACACGGACCCACCGCATGCAGGGTCGGGCCCCTCCCTCCCTCCCTCCCTCCCTCCCTCCCTCCTCCTCCTCCTCCTCCCTCCTCTCCTCCTCCTCCTCCTCCTCCTCCTCCTGCTCCTCCTCTTCCTCCTCCTCCTCCTCCTCCCCCCTCCGCCTCCTCCTCCTCCTCCTCCTCCTCCTCCTCCTCCTCCTCCTCCTCCTCCTCCTCCTCCTCCTCCTCCTCTCTCCTCCTCCTCCTCCTCCCCCTCCTCCTCCTCCTCCTTCTCCTTTTCCTTCTCCTCGCCCCTGCCGCCCCACCTCAGGATCTAGGATCGGGGTGTTGAGGCGATTCTGACCGTGTCGGGGCCTCCTCGTGGCCACGGCTGGGTCCTCCCTCCCTCCTTCCCTCCCTCCCTCCCTCTCTCCTCCTCCTCCTCCTCCTCCTCCTCCTCCTCCCGTCCTCCTCCTCCTCCACCTCCTCCCCTCCTCTTCCCCTCCTCCTACTCCTCCTCCTCCTCCTCCTCCTCCTCCTCTCCTCCTCCTCCTCCTCCTCCTCCTCCTCCCCCTCCTCCTCCTCCTCCCCCTCCTCCCAACCTGCTCCTCCCCCTCCTCCTCCCAACCTCCTCCTCCTCCTCCTCCTCCTCCTCCTCTCCTCTCCTCCTCCTCCTCCTTCATCCCCTCCCCTCCTCCATCCCCTCCTCCTCCTCCTTCTCCATCCTCCTCCTCCTCCATCCCCCTCCTCCTCCTCTCCTCCTCCTCCTCCTCCTCCTCCTCCTCCTCCTCCTCCTCCTCCTCCTCCTCCTCCTCCTCCTCCATCCCCTCCTCCCACTTTTTTCGTCCGCGGCAAGGCGGCGAAATCCGCTCCAGCGAGAAGCCAGACAGGGGGCACTAACCAACGAACCGGCCGGCGAGCAGAGGGGGACAGGATCAGACACACACGGCTTGGAAAGTCGGGTGGACTCAGGAGACGCATCGGATCGGGCTGCGTCGAAATCGAAATCGATCCGGCCGCACGAGGATGCACAACAGCGCCACTCAAACCTCGGCCCGCACGGGATCGTCGGATCGAAGATCGGAATCCAGCCAGACCGGGCCAGCGACAGGTCGATATCATACCGAATCGAGTCGAATTGTCTCCATGGAACACGTTCCAACCAAATGCTATCGCCTCCCACGTTTATCCGGTCGAAAAAAAAAAACGATCGGAGCGAAACGGACCCTGACATGAAACGTGGCCTCACGAGGAATGACTCCTATGCGACGAACAAAACATTTGAGGGCCCCACGAACGCACTAAGGAACCGAGGACTTTCGGGAATCTACGCGCTTTGGCAATCGAAGCGTGAGGACCGAAGTCTAAGGGGATCGCGGACAGAATTGAGAGCAACGATCGGATCATTTCGACAGGTATGGCGTTCTGTGTTGTCGCCGTTCGAGGACTGAGGTTTTCGGACGCTCCTGAGGCCTGGCCTTCTGCTGGAGGAAGAGGAGGACCGAAACCGAGGCATCCGGATGTCTCGAGTTCTCCAACACAAGGACCTCCCGAAGTCCCGACCCTTCCCACTGCTTTACATCCTGAGCTGTTAGTGGAAGGTCTCCGAACCCAGCCCCCAGAGGCAGAAAACTACGAAGTACCTCGTCTTGACCTGTTCAAGGCGATGGTCAATTAATTGGATGTCTGGAAGAGGAAACAAGAAGCAGGAGGAAAGCAGAGGAGGTGGTTGGAGGACAAGAAGTAGGCCCCTGGCGCGCCAGGGGGGATCTGGGAGTCCCGTCGGCGTCGGCGTCGTCGGCGTCGGCGCCCTGGTCGTCGGTGGCGGCGCAGTCATCGTCGTCGTCGTCATCGTCGTCGTCGTCGATCTAGGTTCCAGGGTCTCGGACGTTTGTGGGATCGAGGATCGAGGACCATGGATGGAGGATACACATCTCTGAGCGCTTGGGTGTTCTCGCGGGTCTCGGGGGGGGCGCCCTCGCGGGCCAGGCCGGGCCCGCCTCGCCTCGAAATTTTACCCCAAAACGCACCCCAGCAGGGGTCCAGTGGTCGATTCGGGTCCTCGTCGTCGTCGTCGCCGGCGTCGTTGTCGCCGTCGCCGTCGCCGTCGCAGGCGTCGTTCGAGGATCGACGATCGAGGGTCGAGCATTGAGAAATCCAGGTTCTCGTCCGACAGGAAGGACTTTTCCGTCATCGTCGTGGTCGGATTCCCTTCTCGAGAGGGGGGCAGGAGTGAAGGACGAGCACGTTTGTGCCAACCGCTAACTGCTCCCTCCTCCGCCCCGCCTTTTTTACCGCTGTTCCTTTCTCCACCTCCTCTTTCTCCCCCACCATTCCCTTCCTTCACTGCCCCTCATCATCATGACCCGTATCCCCAAACCGTAGCCCTAGCCAGCCTGCACACTGCGAGTCAGCACTCAGGTCGACATCACTCTGCGAGCGCAGGAGTCAGAAGGGGCCCGCGGCATTATTGGGCCCAGCAATGACACGTTCCGCGAGCAGGGAAACGATTATATATATGAATATATGTATATATATATATATATATATATATATGCACATCAGCATACATATATATATATATATATATGTATATATATATATATATGTATATATATGTATACTAGAACCATCGCGCGCGCCTCGCGCCCGCTCAGGTTCTAGTTAAGGTCACCGCTCAGGTGCGATGCCCGCGGCGACTCTTACCACGAAGCCGGCGGCGTGCACTGCAAGCCACGTGTTCCGGAAGCGCACTTCTGGAACATGGGAACGGAGGTCCTCGATCCTCATCGTCCTGCTGTGCTGCTTTCTCCGTTATTGTTCCTCCCTCTACCTTTTCTGCTCCTCCTCTGGGCGCTCCGCGCGGCGCTGTAGTGCGCGCCGTCTGGGACCTTGGAGAGAGCGCTGAAGTCGTCGGCGCCGCTGTCGTCGCCATCGTCGTCGACCTCGTCGTCGTCGTTGTCGTCTTCGTCGTCGTCGGTTTTCTCGTCGTCGCCGGCGTCCTCGTCGTTCTTTCGTTTTCCTCGTCGGCGTCGACGCCGTGTTCGTACTTGGCTTTGACGTCCTGATGGATCTCTTGGAGACAGTTTTGAAGCATCCTGGGAGCTGTTTTGGGGCTTATTCGGAGCCTGTTGGGGGCCTCTTGGGGGTTTCTTGGGGCATCCTGGGGGTCTCTTGGTGCCTCTGGGGGTGGCCTGTCGGGATTTCCTGGCGCCCTCTTGAGGCGGAAGGCTCAGATTTCTCTTCGTAGTTCCTCCCTGGAGCCCGCCTTGGGGCCGTCCGAGGGCGTGCTTGGGCCGTCTTGGGCGCCTCTTGGGCTGTCTTGGGGCCTCTGGGGTACCTATTGGTGTCTTGGTGTCATGTTGGAGCGGTCTTGGGGGCCATTGGAGTCGTGCGCCGGGTTTCCGAAAAGGCGCGACTCCGAAAAGCCTTCAAAGACGCATGGAAAATTAAAGACATTGGCCTCTTCGGGCTCTCTCGGGAATGCTCTTGGGGGCGTCTCGGAGGTTTTGGAAGTCTCCCAGGCCGGTTGCGTCCGATCTTAGGCCGCTCGCACGCCATGTTCCGGAGGAGCGTTCCCAGAGCATGGGGCGCCAGAAGCTCCCCCGCTCTTCCCCCCTCCCGGACTATCCTGCCGAGGAACTCTTGGGTTGAGTAGGGCCGATCTTGCTGGCTCCCTGGGGCTCTCTGGGGCCGCCTAGGGCTGTTTGGGAGCGGGCCTGGGGGCGCGCTGAGCCCTATGGAGCGTCGGAAAGCCGAAAAGACAAGGAGGCCAAGATCCTCCAACTCCTACGTGAAATAAACGATTTTGGCCTGTTGGAACCCTCTTGGGGGCTACCTGGGGCCTCCTGGGACTCTCTTGAGGCAGAAACCCTGGGTTTTCGGGACGCGGTCCGTCTCTTGGACACCTCTCGGGCCTGTTTTGGGGCACTCGTGGGCTGCCCTGGGCGGTTCTTGGGCCGGCCTTGGGCTCTCCGGGACCGCCTCGGGGCGGCCTTGGGCGCTTCTGGAGCTGTTTGGGGGCGGTCTCGGAGGCCTCCTGGGCCGCCGAGGAGCGTCGGACAGCTGCAAAGATCAGAAGGCCAAAACCCTTCCAAACTTTTGTAAAACCATCATTGTTTGGCCTGCTGGGGCCCTCGTGGGAGTGCTCTTGGAAGTGCTTGGAGCCGTGTTGGAGGACTCTTGGGGGCTGCCTGGGGCCTCCAGGGTCACAGTTGAGGCGGGGGCCCTGGGTGTT